CATCATAGCATCCAGATTGACTGTGAGTGTTATTGCTGTAGGCTGGAAAGTGCTATCGTGGCGGTAGCATCCGAAGGTGCTAGCACAGATGCAGAGTCTGGAGTGGATTCCAAAGCTGTCAGTAAAGTTAGACGGAAGGCCAGAGGATTCCTGCAGGAAATGGTTGCCAACATCTCACCTGCCTTCATCAGGTACAGTTTTCACATCATGCTCCATGAGCAAAGCTACAATTTTTTTTAAAAAGGAAAACTACAACCAATGAATCTAAATGCAAATTTACTTTTTTAAAAAGGTTTTATTTATGGAATAACTATCAATTCTATTATTATTTTAATATAATATTGTTTAAAATTTTGGGGGTAGTAAAGTTCTTTTTAATGTTTTTAAAAGAAGTCACATATGCCCACCAAGGCTGCATTTATTTTTATCAAAAATTAAGTAAAACAGTAATATTGTGAAATATTATTACAACTTAAAATAATCGTTTTATATTTTATTTTAAAATGTAATTTATTTACGTCATGGCAAAGCTGAATTTTCAAAAAAAAATGTCGGCAGCCATTACTCCAGTTGTCAGTGTCACGTGGTCGTTCAGAAATCATTTTAATATGCTGATTGGTGCTATGTTGAACAGCTGTGCTGCTTAATATTTTTGTGGAAACCATGATTTTTTTTTTTTCAGGATTCTTTTGAAAGTTCAAAAGAACAGCATTTATTTAAAATAGAAATCTTTTGTAACAATGTCAAAAATGTTACTGTCACTTTTGATCACTTAAATGTATCTTTGCTGAATCAAAGCATTCATTTAAAATACTAAATTAAAATTCTTTCAAATTACTTCAAATAGTATCGATTTTTATATTTTTAAGGGAAAACATCATTTTGGGTTTGTAATTTATTGATTAGAAATAAATCCTAGATCTTCTCTCTTTTTTGTGTCTCTTTTAGAATAACAGGATGGGTGTTGTTGAAATTGTTTAATGGATTCTTCTGGAGTATTCAGATCCATAAAGGTCAGCTGGAGATGGTAAAGAAAGCAGCATCTGAGGTCAGACATTTACATTGCCTTTTCCTGCCCAGCATGGGCATTTCTTCTTATCTGCACTACCACACATACTGTAACTACTCCCAAAACAGCCACAGATCAATCCATCAGCTGACAAACTCACTTATTACAAAAAGCTATACAGATAAACAGTTCATTAACAAACAATATCTGTCCACCACCTTTTTATGTACCGTATATTTAATGTAATAAATGGGTGGACTGGATATGTGACCCAGGACCACAAAACCAGTCATAAGGGTCAATTTTTCGAAATTGACATTTTTACATCATCTGAAAGCTGAATAAATAAGCTTTCCATTGATGTATGGTTTGTTAGGATAGGATAATATTTGGTCGAGATACAACTATTTGAAAATCTGGAATCTGAGGGTGCAAAAAAATCTAAATATTGAGAAAATCGCCTTTAAAGCTGTCCAAATGAAGTTCTTAGCAATGCATATTACTAATCAAAAATTACGTTTTAATATATTTACAGTAGGAAATTTACAAAATATCTTCATGGAACATGATCTTTACTTAATATGCTAATGATTTTTGGCATAAAATAAAAATCGATAATTTTGATCCATACAATGTATTTTTGGCTATTGCTACAAATATACCCGTACAACTTATGACTGGTTTTGTGGTCCAGGGTCACATATGTGTAGATTTATATAGATATCTTAAAGTATAACAAACATTTTACTGTGTGTCTTCTAGTACAATGTTCCCCTGGTCTTCCTTCCTGTTCACAAGTCCCACATAGACTACCTGCTCATCACCTTCATCCTGTTTTGTCACAACATCAAAGCCCCTCACATCGCAGCTGGCAACAACCTCAACATCCCTATCTTAAGGTACAATGATATGATGACCTTGTTGTTGTGTGTGTGCATGTGTTTTTTAAGATACATAGTATTTCAACAATAGACAGTCAAACTGATATGTCAATATGATATATGTGTGTATGCATTGTACTCCCTCAGCACACTAATACGGAAACTCGGAGGATTTTTCATTCGTCGTAAACTGGATGAGACTTCAGACGGAAAGAAGGATGTGTTATACAGATCACTGTTACATGCAGTAAGTCCACAGAGATATCAGATCCACTTATGTGTATAGTGGTGTTACGTCATAGGTTTTAAAGCAGATTTACAGAAAATTCCACCTTAATGTCTTAAATACCTCAGTGAAAACGTGGCAAGGAAACTACCGAAGATTTTAGCCAGTGAAGGGGAACAAACCTTCAGAGGAACCAAACTCAGCATGGGGAACCCATTCTCTTCTGCCATCCTCCTCCACTATAAATGCACATTCATTACTGTTCAAAATTTTTTGAGTCTGAATGATTATTTTTTTTTCTCTCAGGTCAGTAATACTTTTTTAGCAAGGATGCACTAAATTTCAAAAGTGTGAAGAAAAAAAAAAAACTTACTAACCCAAAACTTTTGAACGGTAACTTTTGAGATAAAAGGGCTACTGATTTAATATATCTTTCATATACAGCATTTAGTACCATTTACTGAATATAAACCTCTGGTACTCTCTCTCTATTTCAGTCCAAATTATTTAGACTCTCAGTTTGGTTACTTTGAAAAAGCAGTTGTCTGCATGTGGCTATGTGTGTGGTAGTATATTATCTTGTGAGCTACAGGAAACTGGAGCAGCTGTAATATTGTCTGCTCTAGTGCTTTAGTTAAAATGACATGGTGATTGTCATTGCAGCGACTGTAGAAAGGCTTATGATTAGAGGTGTCTGTCACAGGAAGCTGATGGATTACTCCTGCATTATTCATGCTGTTTCCTGTTGAGCACCACATTACCACAATGGGCTGCTTTAATTAGAGGGAATTTGCAAAGGAAGGGTCATGGATCTTAAGGATTGTAATATTCGTTGTGGGTTATTTTTCTGTTTTCCTCTCAATTTCAGTACACAGAAGAATTGTTGCGGCAGCAGCAGTTTCTGGAGGTGTATTTAGAGGGCACGCGCTCTCGCAGCGGGAAGCCCTCTCCAGCACATGCGGGCATGCTCTCAATCGTGGTTGACACACTCTGTGCCAACAGCATCCCCGATGTTCTGATCGTGCCTGTAGGCATCTCATATGACCGCATCATAGAAGGAAACTACAACAGCGAGCAGCTGGTATGTCTAACTGGTGATATTCAACAAAAAGCCGATATTAAGTCCACTCATAATGGTACTCAAAGTTTCTTGAATCAAAAACAGACTCTTCGACCCATACAATTTTATTTTTATTTTTTTTTCAGTTTTTATATCATAATTGTTATATGAAAATTGAAAGAAGCTTTGTGTTCTATAAAAGATTATGGAAAGGTATTTTTATTTTTGTTGCAACTTTTATATAATTAATTATGTTCTATGTTCCATAAACAATTATGGAACAGTTTTTTTTTTTTACTTTGTTGAATTTTATACATAATAATAATAATAATAGTAATAATAGTTGTTGTTATTATTACTAATGTTATTGTATTATAAATAATAAAAAAATTGGTAGAAAGTAGTGTTTTCATCTAAATGTCCCAATATAACTGATATAATCGTGATGTTTTCATATGATGCGCCTTTTAGCTTAAGACGGTTGTGTTTGTGTTCACTTTTTTTATTATTATTATTCTGCATTTTATCTTCGCTGTTCTCCTCCCTTCAGGGCAAACCTAAAAAGAATGAGAGTCTGTGGGGAATTGCCTGTGGCGTGTTCAGGATGCTCCGGAAGAATTACGGCTGTGTGCGTGTGGATTTCACGCAGCCCTTCTCCCTTAAGGTCAGAGCAGCTCATCTGATCTCAGTTTGGCTGAGTGCATAGCAGATCACTCCCCTAATGTCTGGATCTTTCTTCTCCATTTCTTTAGGAGTACCTGGACACACAGCGTAGTCGCCATCTCCAGGCCTCTCTCACGCTGGAGCAGATCCTTCTCCCCACCATCATCGCTGCACAGTACGGCATTTAGGCTGCCAGCAACCAACATAATCATATGGACTGTTGTTTATTGGTATGTAGAAAGATGTGTATGGCTAATGGGATTATGTTCAGTTATGTTTTTTCTTTGCAGACCTGATCAGGCTGTTTTTAATGGAGAAGATGAGGATCATCTGAATTCTAGAGACCTGTCAGATGAGCCCTGGAGGAGGCAGGTCATCGCTAACCTGGCCAAGCACGTTCTCTTCAGTAAGGGCACTTAAAAGGCCATGATACATGAAGAGTTTCTTAGGCAATGGGCGATTTTTCAAGCATTGAGGGTGGTGGGTTGGGTAAAATCGCTGTTTATGTGGGGTCGGCCGTTGGCAGTGCTGCTCATTTATCATTTGCCTGGAAAACTTGCTTGTATATCATGGCCTACAGAATCACTGACAAAGAAAAAAATCTGAATACATGGGCTCATTGTTCAGATCAAAAAGATACAGAAAGTCTCTTTATAACATCATAATTGCCAAAGAAAACCAAAGCCTCTCATCAAACAACTAGTGAGTGAATTTTACAAAGCCTAACAAAAACATGTCTGGATTTCATATTTTTAACAAAATAGATTTAAGAAAATCATATTTTAGGACTTTTTAGGATTGTTACAGGGTCCGTACGGTCATGATAAACCTGGAAATGGAATTTTAAAAAGGCAATTTCCAGGCCTGGAAAAGTTTAGGAAAAATTAATAAACCCAGAAAGTTTTGGAAAAGTCAAGGAAATTTATTTCACAAATCTCTGTGCAATATATTTTTTAATCGGGTCCTGAATTTCGGTGAGGTATCGTGCATATAGTTTTACTCATTTCCGCAGGTTTCGCGTTTAAAATGGGGAAATTCTGCACACATTTATGCAAAATAGCATGTAGCTTAGACGAGTAAATGAATCAACACATGACTGTCAGATTAAATCAGTTATTTGAAAACAGCATGAGTGATTCAGCTCTTTCACTTTCTCAAAATGGCTTCACATCAGCGCATCTCACCTACACCACAAGAGAGCTGCTGCGATACGAGACTTTCGCTCTGGTTTCAGGACAGTTGACAGAAATGTCACGGTGTTGCTTCATCACAAAACTGTATAATTTGCAATTGCATCATCTTTTTAAGTCTTTTTAAAGCATTCGGTAGACGCGCACTCCAGAGACGTTTTTCTGCGTGCTCATAGTCATATTCAAAACGCGCACACGTAAAGCTGCCTCGAAAACAGCTCACGAGTAATAAATTCAGTTGTTTTTCCGCTGCTTATTGCGCTTAAGTTGCCAAATACACACAAAATTATGTCAAATGCCCGTCCTGGCAAGTATCCTCATAAACACAGTTTAATTTCTGTATATTTCTGTACCTGAATACTACTTGTTAGACCTAAACAGTTTCCTAAATGAAATTCAGGTCTTGAGTTTATTTGATAATATTGGTTAAATAAATTATAATATTCAGTGATGTGATATGCTCTCTGCATGGAGTAACCTCCGGCACAGTTGTAGCTTGTACTTCTTATTAAAACAAATATAAAGCAAATAGGTAGCATTAATAGTCATTAATTTTAGTTAACAAATCCTATGATAAATTTGAACATAGATTTTTCTTTACTTGTCAAATAATGGAACGTTGGGTCATGAATATAGTCTCAAAAGTTATGGAAAAATCATGGAAATTTATTGGTAAAATGCGTACAAACCCTGTTGTGAGCATTGTGGCATTGTTTTTATGAAAATCAATATACATTTCCCCCAGAATTCTAATTATTTCCTTTTGAGTTTTTGTAATTTTCATTATTCTCAATTATTCCTGTTGTATTCTTATTACTGTAATGCAGTAATGAGAATCAATCTGTCAGGACAATTTTTTTTTTTTATTAAAATACTGTAAAATGTATAAATATTTTAAAGGTATAATTTTTTTTTATTCCATTGGCATTATTAAAATACTGTGCTTAAATATAATACAAATTTTATTTAATCATTATTTCAGTATTGGTAATGACATTTTCTTTAATCGTTTTTATGCTTAATATATTTAGAAAATGTATATTTATTATTAGTGAAATATGCTCCAGACACGTTCTATCTACAGCTGACAGTTTATATAGGTTACTGCTGGTCACAGTCCTTACCATGGTGATGTGTTGCTTTTAGCCAGTCACTTTCCTCAGTGTTTGAATGCCCTGTTGGTGCTGCTTTTTTGAGGACAGGAGGTCAGAGGATCGGCACTCTGAGGTGGAATTGCACCTTGCTTGTGAATGTTTAATATAGACACTGAACCCGTTTTTCTGCTCCAAAGTCACCCTGTTTTTCTTCATACAGCATATTTCAGATACTCTCAGATGTATTTTTAGCTGACAGACAATGTCATGAAGTTTGTAGATCATGCAGTTATGAATTTAAATAGTGTCCTTTCATTTCCCTTCATCAGAGAATTTAAGGGTGTAGTGTGCACTTTCTGTGGAAATCACATAAATGAGGACCCTTTTGCAACAGAGCCACAGTGTTTACACTTTTCTGAAAAGTCAACTCCCAAATGGCTGTTTATATTTGTCTCTACATATTAAGACTGTATTTTGACATTAAAAAATGACACACTTCACCTTGAGCATCAGAATTTTTGACATCTCTTACAGTTTGGCTCAGTTGAACCACTTTCACTTTTGATCAATCTGATCACTGCCTTCTGTGTTTCCCATAGACGCCAGCAAGTCATCAGCAATCATGTCCTCTCACATCGTGGCCTGTCTCCTCCTGTATCGGCACAGACAGGTAAGCACTGTCCTCACTTCCTATGCAGCATACACCATGTCGGCCCTTTCTTCAGTCAGTTTTATTGGTTTTTGATTGTACAGGGTGTACTGCTGTCTAAACTGGTGGAGGATTTCTTCAATATGAAGGAAGAGATCTTGTCACGGGACTTTGACCTGGGTTTTTCTGGGAATTCGGAGGATGTGGTCATGCATGCGCTTAGCCTTCTGGGAAACTGTGTGAACGTCACCAGCACCAACAGAAACACAGAGTTCATCATCGCTCCTAGCAACACTGTACCTGCACTCTTTGAGCTCAATTTCTACAGCAATGGCCTTTTCCACGTCTTCATTGCAGATGCGATTATAGGTAAAAGATCTGAGATGCCACGAGTCATAATTTTACAAAGACTGATGATACAAATAATCAGTGCTGGGTAGATTATTTACAAATTGTAGTCTGTTACAGATTACAAATTGCTTGTCGAAAATTGTACTTATTGATGTAATCTATTAGATTACACATTGTGATTACTTATACATTAATTTTGACCTAACTCTCTTCTAAAGATACGTATAGGATACTTTCGTGTTATATTGATATAAGAAAAATATTCTATATTCAAATTTTAAAAACTATATTTAAAGAATCTATGTAAAAATAGAATACATTTATTAATTTATTTATTCCATTTTTAGCAACATGAAGGACCCAAAACTGGGATTTGTGAAGGAACTGCAGGGGGTTTATGAGTGGATGGAAAGCTAATAATTAATATATCATAAAATAAAAAAAAATTAAAAAAAAAATCAATATAAAACACTTAGACACTAACTAAGAAAAATTGGTTAATGTGACCATTAACCAACATCAGGAAAAAAAATATATATATATATATATATACTGTATATATATATTTTTTTTTAATTTGAATACATAATCCAGATTGCATATAATAGCTGAGGATGTCACAACAGATGCAGCACACTGTGTGTGTGTGTATTTTTTAACTATTTAAGAATTACAAACTGTATGTGTACTGTAACTTTATGTATATGTATGTGTGCTAGCTTGCAGCGCACTGGCCCTGCTGAGAGAGCAATCTGCAACTTCAGTGAGTGAGCAGAATTCTTCATCTATGCTGCTCAGCCAAGAGAGACTGATCCGCAGAGCTGCAGGCCTCTCCCACTTTCTGTCCAATGAGGTGGCAGTAGCGGTGGTATGCCCTCACACCACTCACTCAAGCAGCGGCACCATCTAGTGGTTGACTCTAATGTTAAGCAAAACTTTTGAAATGCTGACTCGAAACTTTTGACATTTAACTTTTGAAACTTTTCAACATTAAAAATGACAATTTAGGTGAAATGCGATTAATTCAAAAATCCTTAACGTGTTAAAATAATTTAACACAATTAACGCAAAAGGCAGTCATATCATTTCAAGCCACTAAACTCCAGGAAAGTTTTCAGTCGAATGATCCAGTAAGTGAATGCATTCAAACAATCAATCAATCCAAACAGCGCTAATGTAAAAAAAAAAAAACAGGCTGATTACATCAGAGATGGCAGAGAGAATAGAGACTCACATTGAGTTTTCATTGAATTATTCATTCCAGTCATATTCTGTGATTCATTCTGAGGAGTGCGAGAGCTCATGTAGTGCTGTGTGAAATACAGATTGAACAGGATGTCAAAACATCCTACCCGCTGTCTTGATACGTAAACTATGTTTTCTCGGCTGGATAAAGCAAACCAGCTTCTTGCTAGGAAAGTTTTGATTGATGAGGATTGCAATCAAGGTACAGATGATTGCGGTGATGTACAGGTGTCGTACAGTAAGCATGCTTAATATATTGATGCTCAAACAAACCGTGTATGAGTGCTCTAGATGCATAGATCATACATTGTATTTATGCACAGACACATTTCTGTACATTCATGGTATTTCCACACACATTCAGGATAATGTTTTGATTTGACAAGTGTATGCTGCTGTGTTCAGTCGTTCTGAATGGATCCGTGTACTGTAGTATGTTTAAGCAATCAGCTCAAGGTGGTTGGTTTCGGGTTTTTGCCATCTCCATCTGGTCCTGTTCGGTATCGCAACTTGACTTGTCTACTGTACTTCAGTCTACTTCTTACATCACTTGCTTTTTTAATGTCCTTTTGGAGTCTCCAAGTGTCCTTTTTTGAAAAGACATCTACATTTATCTTTAAATAAGCTTGCAGAAAATACAGTTTTATAAGAATCACTTTTTACCTATTGACCGCAGTAGTACAAATAAAATTAATATTGGCACTATAGACTAATATAGACTAGTATATCATACTGTGTTGCTTTGTACATAACCACATTTGAATGGGGGTCGCATAAGTTTATTTGTTTTATCTGTTACATTTCTGTGGTTTTTACGGGAATAAAGACTGTTTTGTAACAGAGCCACAGTGTTTTTTGAAAATGTAACCCCGAATGGCTCTTCATATTTGCCTGTACAGGGATTACCCCTACCCATATTTTAGAACAACTTGACTAAGCTGATTTTGAACTGTTTGATCTCTTAAAGTGAAACAGAGATTTGTTATCCACTACTAGAGAGCCTTAGAATATTTTGCATTGTGACATTTTATTTTCTGATTCTTACAACTGTAATGTATTTCTGTTGCATTATACATTTTTACTTGTATTTATGTATGTACATATAAATACAAATTTATATATACTGTGTCACAGTGAAGAGAAACAGTAATAATTAAAATGTGCTTAATTGTCCTGAAAATAATGTCACTATGCAAAAATATTAAGGGTCCTAGTAGTTAACAAACAAAGAAACAACCATAAATAAATATTGGTTTATTTATATTTACTGGTTAATGTTTAAATTTAACAAAGAAATACCCAGGTGAATAATTCAACTGTATTTATGTTGTCTTTACTCTCTATAGCCTTGTCAGACTTTGTACCAGGTCTTCCATGATGCTGTCACCAGGTTAATCGAGTATGGTGTGCTCATTGTAGCCGAGGTAAGCTGTGCCAACTCTTATTTGTCCTGTTGCTTAAGCTTTTTTAATTTAAAGCTGCAATACTTATTTTAAATAAGTATTTTAAAAATTGCCATCACAGATCAAATAATGTTTGAATGATGCTGTGAGATCTGAATTCGTATTGAAAGTAATTTGCTGGAAAGTCCTCAGCGTTGAGGTGTGAAACTGTTTTGCTATTGGCCTATTCTAATGACCTGATTGGGTGTAGGTGGATTTCTGAAAATGATTTCATTATTTCAGTTTCCAATTCATTATTGTCATTCTGAATCTGAGTGAAAGTATAGATTCAGGCTACCTTTCCTTTATTGGAAAGTTTATTGTTACACTACACATCAAATAATATTTGTGCCTAATATTAATTATATTTTTTAGGTCAATCATTAATTAACAATAATCAATAGTAATTATTATAGAGAAATATTTGACTGAAAAATTAATCTTTGTTTTCTTGTGTTCAGGAGGACCAGGAGGAGTTGAGCCCTTCTGAGGAGCCTTGGCCCAAGAAGTTTCCAGGGGCTCTTGCTTGGCGAAGTGATGAAGAAGATGAAGACAGTGACTTTGGAGATGAACAGCGAGACCGTTACCTGAAGGTCTATCTATCTATCTATCTATCTATCTATAAATAGAACAAAAGTTCTATTTAGCCTAAAATGAAACAATTTTTCAAAAGCATGACAATTTCTGAAAGGGGTCTATATTCAGGTTATTAAAAAAAAATGCCTTGTAGAATGATGATCCAGCAGCCCATTAAAAAGCTGATGCAGAGTTTCCCCACTATGTCAAAACCCCCACATTAAACATCTTAAAACCACCCACCACTCCCCCACAGACACACATATATGAACTAATGTGCCTAATGTCCTTTTTTCTGTCCCTGTGCAAGTACTGAAATAAGCAGATTTTTTGTGATTCACAGGTGCTCAAAGAGAGGCGAGAGGGTGGTGTGTGCCGTCTGGAGCTGAGCAGCACTTTCTTACCTCAGGCTAACAGAAACAAACTCCTGCAGTACATTCTGGGTTTCAGTCTGCTGTGACACATTAGGACCATCAACACAGCTGCGCGGCTTTCCACACCACTCAAGGGCTTTTTACTGGCTAATCATGACTGTCAAAGGTGCTACTCTAAGGAAAGCTTTACCTGGAAGTGCCTTCACTAAACGCCTCATACTAGACTTAAGTTAGTCTTCCCTTCACTGAAAAGCCCTCCACTTATGCACTACTCAATACACAAGCAGTTCTGTCAGCTCTTTCGTTTACTAGAAGCTTCCATTCACACAATACTATGCCAGTTTTGCCAGTGAAAGCCCTTGGCTTTCAGCTAAATTGGGTGTCTTTATAGCTCTGAATGTTTATATGGTGTTAGTTTTTAACTCGGATCAGTACATGAATGTCACACTTTATGAGGTCGCCTTCAGTTTTAACAAACACACATCACTGGTATGACGGCTAGTGTATAGAAATCTTTAAAAAAAGGGCATTTGATTTTCTGTTTAACTTTCACTATTACTGTCAGAGCATGTAAAGAAATCGACGTTACCTTGCAGAGAATAGAAAGACACAGAATCTTTCGATAACACGTGAATGTCATAATCGAAATAGTGGACTCATTTTGAAAAAAATGCGTCCAAGTAGCTACTGAGAAAAATTTTGTAGTTTAGGTCATGTTTATTCACTTTGTCACATCCCATCATGGGTGCAGTTGGACATCCATGAAGGACAAACAGTAGATGCATGTAATGGTTTTAGCAGGCCTAGAGGATCATGAGGGGGAAACTTTACTGGAAACTGAGCTTGAATGCTTCTGCTTGGCTGACTATTACAAGATATGTTTGTAATATTTGTAGGAGGTTCTCTTGCTGCCAAGCACTTTGATTTCCTCCTCAGTTACTGGTATATTTTATTTTGGAGTTAAGTTCCTTGGCAGTGAGTCTTCTATGCTCAGCATGTGTGCAATATGTCTGTAGTATGTGAATTAAACTCTTATTTATGCCATAAATTTGTCTCAAAGCACAATATAACCAGAATGCTGAAAAAGGCACGTTGCCTTCATAACCACTGGAATATTGTGTTTGTTGTTGAATATATCGAGAGCCTGTGGGCAGGCAAAAGTTGAGGATACCCTGTAATGTCCCAAAACTGCAATTTACTTTACCTCATCTTCATTCCGTTTTTATTATCTGCTCTTTAGAAAGCCTTTTCTGCTGATTTATCATTTCCAACTTCATTGGTCATGTGTTTTGTATTATCCCGACTATGACCCCATGCTTGTTTTGACAAGTCCTTGAAGAAAACTCTTTTGTGCATCAGCCTCTAGATGTTGCTATGCAATGGACCTGTTTTTACTGTGCAAGAATGTAGTTGGCAGGTATGCACACTTTGTGTAGGCTACCGAGAGACTTTGATTAAAAAAGATAAAGGCTGTTCCCACGATCTTGGAAAAATCTGAAAGGATCCACTTGTTTTAAGGCTGTGAGCTCCTGGGCTTGGGAAATTATGGATTTCTTTGCATATCAAATCAGTTACGATCTGCTCTATGCTGTTTATCTATGTTGTTATTAAGTCCTTATCCAATCATCTTGAACTACAGGAAAAGTGAGGGAAATTCATTGGTCCCTGGTAGAGCCCTGGTAGAATATATAAGCTTACTTATGTCACGAGTTACCTGAGCAGCTCAAACTGCTAAATTGTATATTAGATTTGAAGTGACATTGAAAGTGTTTTAGAAACTGAATCAAAGCTGTGAAGGTTTCAGATACACAAGGCATATTTGAACAGTTTGCACAAAATAGTTGTGTGTGTCAATATGGCTGCAAATATTCAGCTTTAAATTGCAATTAAACGTCTGTTTTGAATGGAATAATAGCTTACTACTTAATAAATACTGTGCAGTATGTACTGCATACTTCCTGTAATTTGAATCAGTTGGGATTATTCCACATTTTAAAAATGATTTTATCATGTTGCATGATAAATTGGAAAATTCATTGCGTTTTTAAAACGAATCAAATGATGAATCAAGAAATATAAAAAATCACAGCTGATATTATTTACTATTCATTTGATACTTGTAACGCAAGGTCAAGCACATTGCATCGTGAGATGCAGCGCTTCACGCCGTAAACTCTCTTAATGCATCTTTACACAGCTGAATTAAGGCTGCTCAAAATTCTGTGTAAAGATGTAATGCAGAATGAAAGCCAGACTAAATGATACCTGCTCTGACCCACCTCAGTCCATAGTATAAAAGTGTACAGTTGTAATTTATGCATATTGTGCATAGAACATTCATACCATATAATGCAGCAATAGTGCTTTTTGGAATATAGCCAACATTTTGAGGGAGTCAGAATAATAGAGCAAGTGTGTGATTCCTAACTCTTCTCTACATTGTGTGAATGTGTTCAATCAGCACTGAAGATTGTATATTTGAAATTCACTTGAATATAAACAGCCATATGCATTTCTCTCTCCCAGCAGACAGCAATAAGTCCTTTTTTATTAGTTGCATGTCCATTATTGCAGTCATGTACTCTCATCCCATGTGAAGTCGATCAATAGATCCCTTTTGTGCTGTGAACAATATAGATTTGAGGCGTTGTTTTAAATCTATCTCAGAAAACAAAGATTAAGGCAGTCACATTTAATGTTCTCACATCAAATAATGTATGTTTTCCTCAACATTTTTAATTAGCCATGTATACAATTTAGTTGGAATCCCACAGTTGTCTTGTGGGATTGGGGAGTTTACTAAATTATACTCTGTTCACTGCAAATGTACAGACAGAAAGGCTTTATGTTTTGTGTGTGTGTGTGTGTGTGTGTGTGTGTGTGTGTGTCGTGGCTTTAGTTACAGATATCTGCTTATGAGGATTCAGTGGCTGCTCATCTCACGAAGATCCTGAACTCAGATCAGCACTCAGTGGTCATATCTTCATCAAAGTGAGTCCTCTCACACTATACAGTCCACACATATATATATATATATATATATATGTATATATATATATACATACATATACATTTATAATATTTTTGTCTGTTGTCTGAGTGATGTCATTTAGTGCAAGGTTTCCCAAACTGGTTTGCAAGATGATGAAAAGCTAATAATTAAATAATGAAAATGGAAAATAAAACAATAAATAAATAAAAATCAAAACATACTAAGCCACACTATTATGTCATAAAATGGCACATTCCAAAACAAGTCATTTTCTGAGCTTATTTTCAATAAAAGCTGTTTTTAAACTAACGAGAAAGTTTTGAGTTTTGAAACTTACAGGATGTTGACCTGTTACATGTCAAAATATCACGAGAAATTTGATTTCTCAGTTCATGACCCCTTTGGGAAAGTTTGGGAATCCCTGTTTTATTACATATTGAAAAAGTAAGGTCATCCTTTCTTTTTAACTCATTTTCATGCACTGTTGCAGATACTATGAAATAAATGAATGTTAACAAATAGTGGACAATTTCTTTTTAAATCTAAGCAAAATTTACTTTTTTTACTACACCAAAATTCAGACTTGACTATAACTAAATGTTGGGATCACACAATATTGTGCAATGTACTTGCAGAAGTCTTGAAAACCTGTCAGAAAATTCACATTTTATTGTTGTATATTTTTAGGCTAAAATCCTGAGATCTCTGAAAAGCCTGCATCATACTGTCTTGTTTAAAAATGAATCTGTAGTAAAGTAAAGGAAACAAACAGTGTTTCACATGCGATCTGGAGCTCTTTGCTCATTTTACCCAGTGTTTACACCTTCACTGATGCGATCTGGAGCTCTTTGCTCATTTTACCCAGTGTTTACACCAGATGCCATTACACTAATCTACCCCTACACTGACCTGTTATATGTCAAAAGATCAAGGGAAATTTGATTACTCAGTTTATTACCCCTTTAAAGAAAAAAAGTTTGGGGAACCCTGTTTTATTACATAATATTGAAAAAGTGAGGTCACACTTTCTTTATTACTGTGAAGAATTTCCATGCACTGTTGCGACTTGCGAGTTCCTAGAAATCCTCTAAAACCAACAAGGCTGTAAGACCAGCTAATATTGGAAAGCCATTTGGGCTCATTTAAGCCGTTTTTTTCCCCAGCCGGGAATATAAACATACAGAGTTTAAAATGGAGGACATTAAAGAGAGATAGACACGAACTCTGCCCACAGCGACGGCAGCAATTTAAGGAGGGTGCTGAAGAAGAGGACCTCAAAGAGAGCACATCCACACTGAAGAACCAAAGCAGAGGTCTGAGTGTTATTGTGCCCAATAACAAAGCATGACTGCTGGAGTGAGTAAAATGTTTATATACAGTGGGTACGGAAAGTATTCAGACCCCCTTCAATTTTTCACTCTGTTATATTGCAGCCATTTGCTAAAATCATTTAAGTTAATTTTTTTTCCTCATTAATGTACACACAGCACCCCACATTGACAGAAAAACACAGAATCGTTGACATTTTTGCAGATTTATTAAAAAA